GTTCCACCCAGGCACAGGAGAACGCAAAGTCCTAGCAAGCACTCTTCTGTGTTTCCATTTTCCAGCATTTATCACTAACACTGCGTTTAGAAATAAGGTGATTGTCAGCAAACATCTAACAAAAGCCCAGGAGCATCATGCAGCAATTGAACTCGATGCCTGGGAGCTTCTTGCTCCCATGGCTGCAGCCTGCACACCAGCTTTCACTCCACTTCATGTCAAGGGCATGCAAAGTGCTTTGAAAGTCAGGTCTGCACATTTTTTCTCTGAAGCTGCCTGTAATCCATCTTTTTTTATGCTTACATAGGCAAAACTGAGTACCTTGGGTAAGTAACTAGCTGCAGTCCCAGGCACAGAGGCAGGCTGTTGAACAGGCTGCTGCCCTTGGTTTGGATGCACCATCCTCCTCCGCTTTCTTTCTCAGACACTGGCATTTAATGACAAACAAGCTTTCCTCTAGGGAAAGTGACACTGCCACAACACAGAAGTGAGAAAACAAGTTATGAAGTGCAAGAACCTACATTCAAAATACAGTCAAAGCAGAGGAGTGCATGAATATGGACATGAAGATGTGTCTCTCCATCTCAGTTCCTCTGCACCGCCTTTGAACTGAAGAGGAAGTGCTTGTGGCAATGCAGGATGCAAAGCTGATTATGCTTTGCTCTGTAAGAAAACATACGTAGCCACGGAGCACATGACTGCCGAAAGATTAAAAGGAGACTAAAATTCAGTGCTTTGACTTCATAAGCATTCCCACAAAGTATTCACTTTTTTTTCCATCTTGCTTTCCCTTCAAAGACTCAAGAAAACAAATTAGAGATGGTTACAGGAATACCCCAAATCCTGAGAGCAGAGGTAGGGAAACTGAGGCATAGTTTATGTTCCTGCTCAGCTCCATAAAATGGGCTAGAGCGAAGCACCAGCTGCAATTCAAAGGCCTTGAGTCACAGCCTCTGTTTCTTGGAGTAGTTCTGTTTCCACCAACTATTTGCTTAGAGGATTGTGAATGCTGCCCAGCAGTGAATTCTGTTAGTGTGTCCCTGTACTATCGTCTCCGTTCACCAGATGTTTCAGAACATCTAGTTCACCAGATGTTTCAGAAACCCTTGAGCCCTTGCAAAGGCTGCATTCCTTCTCTTACTTTCCTGCATTTTCCATTAATCTACACAAGCTATTTAAATACCTTCTTTTTTTTGTGATCTCCCAATTTGCATTTTAAGCATGCCAAGCCTTTGCCATGACAAGCATTCCCCTACAGTGTGCCTGTTTGCTGCCGATGAACCTCCAACTTAAATATAGTGCCAAACACCTGTGAGAGATGGGGTTTTGAAAAGACAATTGCAATTTCTTGGGGTTCTGAGCCAGCAGCAGCTATTAAAATAGTCATCTGAGGCAGAAGATGCTCCAGCTGCCTATGGCTTGGGAGGTGAAGGATGGGCCACTTTTCCATTTCTGACACTCCCAGTGCAATACACACACACGTAGCACAGAGCTCAGAGGTGCTTCAACAACAACACAACATAAACTTCTTCCAAAGTTTCATTACTATTGTGGGATTTTCTTGCAAGACACACTGTCTCGGCCCCAAGGGGTTGGCTTGTCAACCACAGCTTTATCCCGCGTTGTAAAGGCAGAAATACTAGATGAAGAGCAGCTGCTTTCTTTACATTACCAATATGTTTCCAATGACCGGTGCTCACTGGTAAAGCCCCGCTTTGGGAAGACATTTATTCAGCATATGCCTAAAAGCCATTGACCTGAATGAGACTCACGTTTGTGCTTCGTATTTGTTTGAATCAAGGCCTGAAAGACAGGATATTTTTTTTTTTCTGCGAGTTTAAACACTGAAACCTAAGACTGTAACAGAATATATTGAAATGTCCCTCTACCACTGTTCCATCAGCCCATGAATCTTGTGGAAAGGCCATCAATTACAGGTCGCTGCAACTGTGGTAAAAACTGAACCTTACATTTATCTTTCCACAGCATACATTAATGACTAAGATGTACAATGTTTTCTTGCTATCAGATTTAGAAAAGTTTTGAAAGCTTGGGGCATAGGATGGACTTTTTTAATGTTTTCCTTGGAGTGAATATCAGGTTGCATTTTGATTAGCAGAAATATATAGTGGGAAAAGGCAGGCAGTGATGAATTAACAATTTCCTATCGCTTTCTCAGGCTTGCTATTCATTTTAGGTAGAACAAATTTATGTCAATTGAATAATTCCATAGAGGCATTGATTTATTTGGAATTTAAAGGTATAGCAAAGAAAACATTTGAAGAGCCTTAATCATAGAGTATAATTTTGATTAACTCTAGGATTTTCTAGAAAAGGAACAATTATTTTCCAAGCTGTGGCAATTTCCAAAAAGTTCTCTATATCAACAGTTTATGCTGAGACATGTTGTTTCTAAAAACCAGAACAGCACTTTCTGGGTTTCTACCATGCAGCACTAACACCAAACTAGCCTCGTCTGTCACATTCTGCTGCCCTTTGCCTCTGGGTATTTCTAATTAAAATAATCATAGAAGAGCCAACACTGCACCCCACCCACACTGAAAGTTGAGAATCTCAAGACCAGTACAGAGTTACTCACTGGGGCCAGTGCTTGCTTCCCTAATAGCTATTGTGCTCTAAAGAAGGTTTTGGGGGAATGCAACTTACAATAAAATTCTCCATCACTATAAGGCAACCTGGTCTAGTGAAAGGTGTCTCTGCACATGGCAGGAGGGCTGGAACTGGGTGAGCTTTAAGGTCTTTTCCAACCCAAACCAGTCTATGATTTTATATTTAGGTAAAAAAAAATAAATAGTAAACCCTCTGAATTATAAGTGAGTCTGACAGTTGTGCTTAGATGAACATAGCCAGAGATGACTGGTCATACCAGTGGTGTCCCTGTGCTGGCCACTGCCATGAAGCTGTCCCTGGGAAAGCTTACCCACAGCCAGAAAAGCACTAGTAAAAGCCCTAATGATGCTGAGAGCACCTTGCCCATTAGAAGTACTGATCCCACTGGAGGCATGTGTTGAGTTGTGTTCAGGGAATGATTGACAATGGTACTGTTTGAGGGGCTGGCTGCCTGAGACCATCTCCTGCAGAGCAGGGGAGAGAGAGGGGACCTACAGCCCTCCACAAAGAACCACTGCTTCTGACAATGCTCCAGCCTGTTCCCAAGTCCATGTGATGAGACACCTAACCACCATCCACTACACCTGCACCATGGCATCCACACATGCCAGACCTCTGGGAGCTTGGAGCAGCATTCCCAAAGAGTGCCTTCCAGGCATCCTGAAGGAATTCAATGTTCAGACTAATGCTATTTCACAGGGCTCCCCATAAACTACCAGAAAACAGATGTGCAAGAACACATAAATTTAAATGAGGAAAGGGGCTGTGGATCTTTTAGATTTAGGTGAAGAATTGGATCATGTGCAGTAATTACAGCCTTCACAGGCAGCAAATGTTTCAGTCAAGTTCATGTTCCTGTAATTAAAAGGGCTATATCTCCTTCCACCTTAAATATCCTCATCTAAATAATGAACTTTCAATGCACACAACCCAATAAATACTGCCTCCGGGTTGCATATTTAGTTTCTTCAATAAATAAGGCTCTAATTTGAACTACTAACTAGTTATGAGTAGCAGTTTAAAATAAGAAAGCACCCATTCAAATGCACAGTTAAAATGGCATTTCAAGTTCTAAAATTGTTTGAAGCCGTCACCAACAGGAGCCATTCTGCTCTGGTCAGCAGTCTGTTGCCACAGAGCTGGACACCCCAGAGACTCCAGTCTCTCCATCAAGCTGAGCTCAGCTGGGCCCTTGCGTTCAAGCTAATTGGAGCAGGCAATGGACGGCCAGAGCACGACCTCCTTCGCTTTTCTTTACAACCTCCTCCTCTTTTCTTTATCTCATTAGATAGCTGGACGGGTCTGCACATTGCCAGGAGATAAATATATGGACTTTCACTCATAGGTCAGCAGTTCAGATCTGATGGGGATGAGTAATGACAAGCTAATTGATCTCAGATGGCCATTTGGTGGGCTCTGTAAAATGAATTTGGTGGTCTGGGGTCATGTCTCAGGGGATGAGCAGCCATGTCATAGAAGAACTAGCACTGCACAGCTCTTCTACAAGGGCAAGGTCTGGAAGGAGACATGAAAAACACGCTTTCTCATTCTTAGAGGGGGTCCCTTCATGGCAGGGCTTGAGCACACTGAGACACTGACAGCTGGAGTGGAAAAGTTGGCTCTTGCTGGGAAGCTTCACAGCGGCTCTGAGGAGATGGGCTGCATTTTCTTAGCCTGATCCTTGCTCCCAGCAGAAGGGATGAAGGTTTGCTACCAGCCCCTTTGTACGTGGGGAACTTGATGCCCATGCCTAATTGGAGAAATGCTGACAATGTTCTCTTCTAATCAGAAACTACTGTTTGCCTTGTGGCTCTCTAATAATGTATCCCCCTGTCCTTCCAGCAAACTAGGAAAAACATGACCCTTTGGAACTCATCTACTGGGTAAAATCAGTGATTTTTAGCAGTAATGCATTGCTTAAATTATGTCCAGTGGGACAGAAAGAGCCTCAAAACCTCCTGCTCTCAGGAGGGTCACTTATTCTGACAGAAATGCTAAAGCATGTATCTTTCTGTCACAGCTCTGATCCTCAGAAGAATTTCTAGATACAGCATTGCTTTTTTTATTTCTTTCGTTTAAACATTATTAATTGCCTCCCCAGCTCTCTCTGCTGAAAACAATTGTCTGGGGTCAGACTTGAGGGCTGTTGTTTCCATTCCTGCTATGCACAAAGGACCACTTCATTACAGAGCCTCTCTGGAGGACTGATCCTGCTCTCCTGCTGCCAAAGCCTGGACTGAGTTCATGCCAAAGTTGCTCAGCAGGTTTGCTGCTGATTTGCAGGAACAAGCAAATCTCAGCCTCTCCAACAGGATCAACCCAAAGCCAGAGGTACCAAGGCTGAGCTGTGCCTCCCAAAAGAGCAAGAGGGCAGTTGGCATATCCCTCGTTTCATAGCTAGGATCCTCAGAGGCAGCAGCTCTACCAGGTAGATTAGGAGGCCACCTCCTCCCCAGGACCCACAGGTGTTTCTGCTGGGCTTCTTCCCCTTGGAAACATGATAAATTCTCCTAGAAGGAAGCCTGCTTGGGTTGGTGGGGATGTGAAACACTGCCTTTGTTCTCCATCCTAGCCTTGGTGTGCGGCTGCAGGCGAGCCCAGGAGCACCAGCATTCCCACAGGCTGTGTAGGCAGGCATGGGCACCAGCTCTGTCTGCACACAGCCCTGGGCAGGCACAGCAATGAAGATACCCAGCACTGCTGGCACCTGCAGCCAGGACAGGGCTGTCTCCCCAGCCCTTTGCACCCCAACATGTGCAGAATAATGACCAGCTTGCAAGTAGTGGGAAAATACACCAGAAGTAAAGCACTGGTGAACCAGAAATTACTGTATTTGCATGTATAATGGCCATGCTTGTTGCTCCCTCCCTTACTCACCTTCCCCTCCCTGCCATAAATTGGGGATCAGTCAGGAGGTGTGCCTGTGCTCTTCTGCTGGTAATTTGGTTGAGGCAGGGTGTAGCCACAGCATGCAAATATGCTCTTGCTTTCTCTTCTGCCACAAACAGGGGTCCCAACTCTTGACAGTGAGGTCAGCAACAGGGAGCTACGTGTCCATTGCTAGACAGACACTGCAACAGTTTCTTGTGGCTGAGCCCAACTGAGGCAAAGCTGGCCAAGGATGATCCTCCAGTGGCATGGAACCTGCCATGAATACCAGGTCCTACACTCCTTCCTTCTCAATGGCAAGTGTACTGGGGCTTCCCAGTGCTTCTGACCCTCCAGGAGGGTACTGGCAGATTTCACCATTCATATAATTCTAGCCTGCTTTAAATTAGCAGGGGGGCCCAGCTGGGGCACAGTATGGAAGTGCTGAGGTCATTCCTCCCAGCACTTCCAGAGCCTCCCTGCCTGCTTTCACACCACACACAGGGGCACATGGGAGAGAGCAGGCCCACACTCAAGTCACAAGCTGCCCAGCTCTCAGCCCACTTCCCCCAGGCACTCAGGACCACCACACTCCCTCTGTGCACGCTTGGCTCCTGTGCCAGCTCTGGGCAGGGTTTACACTGGAACAGCTTATTCTGAGTTAGAAAACCTCATGCTTTCTAAGAGGATGAGAGCACGACTCTCAGTACAGTGGGGACTAACGAAGCCCAGGCATCAGCACCCAGCTCTGCAGATCTCATTGCTGTGGCTGTGCCTGGGTGGGACCAGAACCCTCTCAGGGAGTGCAGCAGTCTGTGAGGACCAGGCAGAGGAGACCCGAGTTGTGGCAGTTGCCAGGGATGAGAAGCTATGTGGGGAGCAGTAATCACTCTTTAGATCTACTACCATAGCTCCTCACCTTCCTGCTGCTGTGGTTGTTGTTGTATTCAAATCAAGGCCTGATGACAAAAATAATCACACTGCTGCTGCTTGATCCTCCTCAGCCCTTTCACCCGATTTGTTTCAGCCAGCTGCAGCCACATTTTCTTACCTGCCACACTGGCTGGGGCCTAAGCAAGGACCCTCCTCCTGGGTCACATCAGCCACATGCAGGCAGCACTGGGGTCAAGCAGAGACTCAGCCTTTTCTCTTCTCTTCCCTTTCCAGTATGCAAGGGGTGAGCTGGATTAACTCCCCAGCAGCCTGGCAAGGAAACACTCAATTTGTTTCCCCCTGAACACCCCAACAACCCCTTCCATAGCACTGGCTGCTTGATACCCCTGTCCCGAAGTACTTCGCTGTATGCAAGCAGGGAGGGAGGCCATCTGCAGCATCTAGGATGTTGAGTAGGAAAGAACATATATGTGTGTAAGCTTTTTGCTCCCCTACCTCATTGTAAAGCAAGCAGCTTCTCCTGCAAAGCCGCATTCACTCATCTCAGTGCCTCTGGTGATCTTGCAGCACAGTAGCACACGTGACTCACCACATGAAGAGGAGGAAGCACACTTCATCCTCCTCCATGGCGGGAGGGGAGTCTGAAGAGGTGTTTGATAACCCACAGGGTTTTGTGACTCTCAAACCCCCCACAAATCTCAGCCAAGAGCCTGCCAGTGCATTTGCCTCAGTGTTGGGTTCAGACTTGGAGCAACCTGCCCTAGTGGAAGGTGTGCCTGCCTGTAGCAAGGGGTTGGAACTGAATGAGCTTTAAGGTCCCTTCCAACCCAAACCAGTCTGGGATTCTATGATTCCCATCCCTTGTACTCTTTCCACAAAGCTTCTCTATCAAAGCTTGTGGTTCAGCACCAGGTGACACCAGCCTGGGAAGAGCCACCCTCTGGTTTCAAAACCTTTCTATACACACACACAAGCATACACTCTCGCATTTGTGCTTCCAGGCCCTGCTCACCCCTACAATCAAACAACACATTTCTAAAACACCAAAAGTAAAAGTACATTTAATTCCTAGCGAAGTCCCCACACGCAGACCCCAGAGGCTCCTTAGACTCCTCTGTTGCTACGTGCAGGCTCCTGGACTACAAAGAAAATCCCCTCTCCAAGACTGATAGGTGACTCCTGCAGTTGCTGAGAGTCCCAACAGCTTTTTTTTTACTTTTTCCCCAGAAGACACTCCTTCTGTTCTAACACCTCCCTGCTCCTTGCTTTGATACCCAGACCCACAGCATAGCCACACAGAGCAGAACACGCCACAAGTGCAGCACCACCCCACTGCTCCATATTTGCCTGTTTGCAGCATTGCTTTCCTTTCCATAGGGAGCAGAGAATCAAATAGCTCTTCAGTCCAAAACCAGGGGCATAAGCCCCTTCTCTTTACAGGAGCATCACTAATACCCCTGATAAGCACATCCCCTGCCTGCCTGGAGCCTTTTAGAGCCCTGTGGGCAATGCTCCTCAGCTGTGGAGCTCCACAGATGGCTGGGACAAGTTCTTTCCTACATCCCATCTCCTCTGAAACCAGACCCATGGCCATCCTCCTGCTGCCCACCTCCCTGTTACCAAAGGTACCCTGTCCCTAAGCCCACCGCATTGCTGGTCAGGAGGGAAGAGCCCCCAAGGGGAAGCCGCTGGGGCTGCATATCCCATGCAGCAGATTCAAGGGTCAGTTGTCACCTTAAGAAAGTGAAGATCTGGATTTGGTACAACAGAAACAGGTGACTACATGAGCAGGGTTAGCCTTGTGTCTGAAGGAAAGCCATTGTCTGGAAAATACATATAATACAATAAGCAGGTTTAATATTTTTTATACTGCATAGTTTACAGACTCACAGACTGCTGGAAGGTTGGAAGGGACCTTAAAGCTCATCCAGTTCCAACCCCCTGCCATGGGCAGGGACACCTTCCACTAGAGCAGGTTGCTCCATGCCCTGTCCAACCTGGCCTTGAACACTGCCAGGGATGGGGCAGCCACAGCTTCTCTGGGCAACCTGTGCCAGGGCCTCAGCACCCTCACAGGGAAGAACTTCCTGAGATCTCATCTCAATCTCTCCCCTGTCAGGTTAAAGCCATTCCTCCTTGTCCTGTCCCTACAGGCGCTTGTCCAAAGCCCCTCTCCAGGTTTCTTGTAGCCCCTTTAGGCACTGGGAGCTGCTCTAAGGTCTCTCGGAGCCTTCTACAGGTTGAATAAGCCCAGCTCTCTGAACGTGTCTTCAGAGCAGAGATGCTCCAGCCTTATGATCACTTGTCATAATAAGTCCAGGGATACATTCTCCATGCATTATAGAGAGGTAGTGATGCACGGATCAAGACTCCACAACTTGTTAGAGTTGTAAAGTAGATATGCTTTATTCAGCTGAGGCGCATGGGGGTTGCTCCTCCAAAAGCATGCACGCCCCCCTTTGCCACTCAGTTCTTTTATATTACATAGAATGATTACCTAAACATGAGATTGCTTCACGCCTAATACATATGCAAAACCTATTCCCGTCTAGTATTATAATTAGTTTTCTGGCATTCATCCTATTGGTGCGCCTGCGCAGTGCCTCCTGGTGGTGGTCGTTAGGGGTCGTGAGGATGAAGGCCTGTAGTTCCTCTTCATCACCGCGAGAAACCTCTTGCTTTCACGCAGACTCAATAGGGTTTCAGCTCCTATCCAAACCTCAGGTTCGGTACAAGCTGGTTTTATGTATCTTAAAGTAGAAACTTGTCAAGTTTGCAAATTTTGTTACTCTATCTTTTGTTCCTTTTCTTTCTAAAGATCCTATTTAAACAAGAATGTCTTAAATGTTAAGTTATGAATCTGATCTACTACAATTCTGCCTAGCAGCTGTAACTTCTACAATTCTGCTTCACCGTTCTAGCAACTTTGACTCCTATGGTTCTGCTTCACCAAGCACAGCGACTGCTTAAGCAAGCAGGCACAATGTTAACCCTTTATTTCCCGGTATCAGTAGGTTCCTGAGAGCTGATGTTTTGGCACATTGAAAACTTAATGCTTCTCAAGAGAAGGTGGGAATTTCTGTGTGATAAGAGCTTGAGCCCATCACAGGGCAAAGGAGGGTGTTGGCAGCACCATCCTCACACTTCACTGCGGGTTTGGAGCTGGTGCCTGCTGAAGCTAAATGGGCAGCGTACTCTCCTTTTGGATGCTCAGCATCAGCTCTCTTAAGGCTTGCGTCTGGATCCAGGCTGTCTAGTGTTATAGAGGAACCTACACTACCAGGTGCCCTGTTTCCTCTGGGAGACACAGGATGCAGGGGAGGAGGGAAAATGCTCCATGGATCATTCCTGCCTGTGATGTTTTCAAACCACTTTTCCTGCCTGGCCAAATGAAAAGAGCATGTTTCTAAAAGGTAACACATAGCAAATGATCCCAACAACAGATGGGAAGAGCCCAGCAGGATTTTCTGCAGGACACAAGCCTTCTCCAGGTGTTTCCCAGTGACGGAACTATCACCTTCAGATCAAAAAACTGACCTCACAGCAGAATGCAACTCAGAGGCTGATTTACATAGTGGAAAAAACAGAGGTGCTCATCAAAAAACAAACTTCTAAATAGCATTGTGGTTGAAGTTCTCTCAGTTCATAAATATGCCCACTCAGCCTACAATTTGGAAGTGGTTGGGTTTGGAGGAGAAGGGGGAAGTGCACCAGAGCAGGGTTGCGAGTTCTCTTTTTGTGTTAAAGGCAAAGAAGAAGAACCCAGCAATTCTGCATAAGAAGCTGCCTGGGCTTAGCTGCTGCAGGAGAAAACAGCTCTGCCCTTTGCTCCAGTGTCCTCATGCAGGAACCTCATGGCTGCCTGTGTTTGCAGGCTCAGCAGCAACCCCTGAGCTTCTCACTGGCTTTTCTGAGTATTCCCAGAGCAGACAAACAGTGCTGGCTGTGTCCGTGCTGCATAGTGTGCCCTGGGTTCTGGATGCGTTTTACCCCCTTATAAATCCTAGAATCCCAGACTGGTTTGAATTGGAAAGGACCTCAAAGTTCATCCAGTTCCACCCCTCTGCCACAGGAAGGGACACATTCCACTAGAGCAGGATGCTTCAAGCACCTGTGTCCAAGCTGGCCTTGAACACTGCCAGGAATGGGGCAGCCACAGCTTCTCTGGGCTACCTGTGCCAGGGCCTCAGCACCCTCACAGGGAAGAACTTCTGCCTAAGATCTCATCTCAATCTCCCCTCTGTCAGGTTAAAGCCATTCCCCTTGTCCTGTCCCTACAGGCTCTTGTCAAAAGCCCCTCTCCAGGTTTCTTGTAGCCACTTTAGGCACTGGAGCTGCTCTAATGTCTCCCTCGAGCCTTCTCTTCTCCAGGCTGAACAAGCCCAGCTTTCTCAGCCTGGCTCCATAGGAGATGTGCTCTATCACTCAGAGCATCTTCATGGCCTCCTCTGGACTTGCTCAAGCAGTTCCATGTCTCTCTTATGACTGATATTGTTATTTTATACCAGAAATCACCATGGCTGCAGCTCACCCCCTTCCCACAGGTGAAACAAATCATGCCTGAGTCTTCCCTGCATGCATATGGATGCTGTTGCACGAGGACTAAGACAGAGGAGAAGGCAAGGTGTGTTTGGCCACTAATGTGTGTGGCCACAGTGCACTGACTGGCTCCTAAACCACTTGGCCCCTTGGCTACTAACACACAGCAACACCATCGCCCAGCTGGGCAGCTGATTGTAATGGCTGCTTGTTTAAGAAGAGCAACTGCCTTATTTCAAGCTGGAGAGGAGCAAAACAAGGCAAGAGGTACTGCTGATCATGATGTTGAGGTTATGTGCTCCCAGATATGCAGGGCAGCAGGTCCCAGGAGTGTCTGCGGGTGCTCATGGAGCAGCTCTGCCAGCCTGGGAGAGGATCACAGAAGAAACAAAATCCGTGTGTGTGATTTGGAAGAAGAGACCCAGTTGCATCACAGCCCAGACCAGCTATGTCTTGTGAAACCCAGCCGTGATTAAAACAACAGACATGTTTTGGTTTGTCTCTTTTTATTTTTTCTGAAGTGCTTTAGATCTCTCATTGAGGAAATCTGGAGATGACTCAGCCCCGGCTTGCAGACCCAGGGGGAAAAAAGGACAAAAAAAAGGAAAAAAACCCAAACCATTTTCTAACCAAATGTTTCACTGCATTTGTTTTTGGTGTGCCCAGGGGCAGGCTGCGAGACCAGCCATGCGAAGGCTGCCAGCCTGCTTTGAGTAACCCACATGGGCTGTTTGATGTGGGAAGCCTGGCAAGGAACAGGGTCAATACAGGTGAATGGCTGCACTCGCTCTTTTCTTCCCCATCTACACAAACTTGCCATCATCTGATGAGCAGGACCCAGGCATCCCACTGCCATGGGATAATTTGGCCATCCCTGCCACAAGCCCTTATGGAGATGAGGATCTGCTCCAGGAGATCTCTGTAGAGGAGAGGTGGATCTTAATGCTGTTTACTGGGAGCTCAGGAAGGCACCTTTGGCTAATGCATGAGCAAACATGTCTCATTGTTGGTTGAAAAGTCACCTGAGCACCATTTACCCTTAGCATGGACCCCAGGCTCCACCTCTGCACAGTCACATTAGGCATGTCCCTGCCTGCCCTTAAATCCTCTGTGCATGGAGGCTACACACAGGGTACTCCCAGAAAAGACCAGGCTGCTTGAGAGTTAATGCCAAAAGGAAGAGCAGAAAAAAGCTCGGGTACTTCAAAAGCCTCTGGAAGGCTTCTGAACATCTTATACCAGTAATCTAACCAGTAATGGGTTGATCTTGGCTTTGACATTGCTTTTAGCCCCAAGCTCTGTATTAAGTAGGCCAAAGCCCAGAGAAGCACTCTTAATGGACTATTGCTTGAAGCAGGCCAAATGTATTTTCTCCATAGATTTTGTTGTCCTTAGCTTCAGCCTATGTTCCTGGAGAGAGCTGGGGTGTGCACAGGGATGTGAACCCTTCTGCAGGCAGCTGAGGAGCCCAGTTCTGCGATCAAACAGCCCCCTTCCCGTAGTGGAATTTGGGAATTTTGGCTGCATGTGTTGTACAAGGTGGGGGAAAAGGAGCGTTGAGAAGAAATCAAAGCTTTTTGAGGGATGGGAGCACAGTCTGTGTCTTGCATTGGGAGCAGGGTTTGACCCACCACTGTTCTTCAGAAAGCCACTTTGGAGGAAAAAGGTGAGGACGATGCCAAAGGGTTGCTGAGGACTTGGGGGAAAAATCACCTGCCAAACCCTCCAAACCCCCCAGAGGGTTTTGTGGAGGGAGGAGATGCCAGGAGTGGGGCATGAGCAGAAACCCAGCAAGCCAGCACACTGGGTAACTACAAGCAAGATGCTTCCTTCATGAGCTGAAATCATCTTTCTTTTCCAGACAAAGAAACCACCTCTAATCTGCTTCTGTGCCCAGAGCCTCTGTGTGCTGGATCCATATCAGAAAAATATAGCATGCACCCAGGGGTTTTTATTTAGCATCCCTGCCTTTGTGCCAGCAGACCTTGCATGGCAGGTTCAGTGACTTTCCATGGGGCCTTAAGAATTCAATTTTGCTTTTAAATTTGCTGCCTCCAGGCAAGATGGAGCAAGTTTTTATGTGCATGGTGCCTCTTTGTCTGCATAGTGGTCTGATGCGTAACAAGGAGAAGAAAAACAAAAAATTTATCTATATAAAGGATGCTATTGTGTGAAATTATTAAGTAAACAGCGAAGCCAGGGCTGGATTTGCCCACACCCACGTGCTGTGTGGCTGGCTGGCTGGTGGGCTGCACCATGAGCTTTAGTCCCACTTTTGCAGTAACATGGCTTGCCAGGCCCAGCTTTCACAAGAGTTTATTTTCGGAGCTGCTCTCTCCAAGCAGAGGAGCAGGAATGCTCCAGCCCCACATCCCACTCCCGGCACCATCCACCTTCCCCATGGGGAGGTTTTGGCATGAGCTCCCTGACTCGTTTCTCTTTTTACTGCTGCCAGAGACTCAGCCAGTGATAAACAGCAGCGGGTGCCTTTTAATTAACATCCGTATTTGAGGCAACATACTATTTTCATTAAAATCAATAAATAGTCTCTGCTTGGACTTTGTCGTATGCCTTATACTTAAAGGAAACCAAACCCTGCTCCTGGCATCTGGATCCCATACTTCCTCCACGGGATGCTGCACCAACAAGGCCGCACCTGAGTGGGGTCCGCTCACAGGACAGGGATTTTCCAGTAGGAAAGGCAGTGGGGGGCTGGATGCCTTTGGAGATGCTTCTCTCTGGGTGAGGAAGTTATTATTTGATATTCAACAGAGGGTAGAACTAGTGACCTGTGGCAGCATCCTGCCCTGGACCACATCCCTTCCTGCCCCATACGGAACTTCCCACCCAGGGTGGATGGATATGCACAACAGCAACTAACCCTTTCCTTCAAAAAATGGGTGCTGCCAGGCCTGAATCTGCAGTAGTCTATGATCTGGTCTGAATAAGTGTTTTAAGTGGAAAATCAATCCACAAAAAGAAGGCACAGGGTCACTGCATTGGTGAGAGGTGGGTGCTGCCAGGGGAGTGCATGGGCACAGGGGTGCACATGGGTGTAGGGGTGCATGCATGGATGGGAGCTTTTCTTTGCAAAGCAGGATTAGGACTGCACAGGGTTTTGTCCCTCAGCAAGCCAGCCAGCACAGCTCATCTCTCCCCAGCATGCTTACAAGATGTTCCCAGCATTAGGTCCCAAATGTGCTCTGGGTAGGCCTACCTGGGCACAAAGCAGCCTCAGTCCCCTCTCCATTTCCTACCAGCAATTCTTCAGTCCCTTCTCTCCCCATACTAATGTCCACTTTTAGACACAGAGCCCCACTTTGTCCTTGAAACTCCATGGTGCAGAAGTGCTGATCTCCTTTCCTGCAGGCAAAAGGCCAAAGCCACATGCTGAGAGATTCCCCCAGTGAGATTAGGCCCACACTAGGAGGTTTCCCATGGCCACACAGCAAACTTAACAGTCATATGGCTCCTGTCTCTTCCCTGGCTCAGACCTGACCCCATGGCTTGTCCTTGCCCGTTCTGGTGTGCTGGAGAGAGATGCCTTTGTTACAGTGGCTTTGGCAACGGCTTTTATCCTGACGACTTCTCCAGGAGAGCTGGTGAATGGGATGTTTGTCTCCCACTTCTTCACAGTTTATCCAGCCAGGTTTATTCTCAGGGAGTGGCTGGGGTTTGTGCTGTCCCAGTTTAGGAGCCAGCTCAGAGGGATCCAGTTCCAGGGAACAAAATAAATCCACCAGTGCAATGTGGCACCTTGGACTCCACCCAGTGCAGTTTTCCTACAGTTTGGGGCTTTATTGCAAATCTACGACAAAACCTGGATTTGTGGGATGATTCATTTTGACTCCAGTATCAGAAAAACGCAAACACAGAACCCACCCCTGATCTGACCTACTGAACGGCCTCAAGGCCCTGCCATGCTGGGGCGCATGTTGATTTAATGAGAGGACTGTGGTGGTTTGGCACAAGATGCTTGGGCATTTGATGGAAGGGGATAAATAAATGCAGAGCACCCGCTGTCTGTCCCCAGGTGACTACTGCAGGATCTTCCAGACCTCCCAAAAGGCTCATGGAGCTGCTCTGTTTAACAGCTTATTCTGCCTTTGGTTTTGATCAAACCAAAGCCTCAGAGACCTCCAGACCCTGGTAGCTGTAGATGGCAACTCACTGTGATGCTCCAAAACCCAACAGACCACCAAGCCCAGCAAGCTGCTGCAGAGCCATATCCTCCTGTGCCCAGAGCACCCCTGCACCCAGCACCCTAGGCTGCTGTCTGCAACAAGGAGGAAGATCCAGTTGTTTGTCACTGAGCAGCTCAAAATAATGGACTTTTATGAAGTGCACCCTCTCCATCCACAGCCCCCATTGGCAGCCAGCTGCCAGCCCGGGACATGGTATGCTGTGATAACCACCTTTGCTGGCTTGGATTTAACCCAAACAATCACCTGTGTGTGGAAATAATGACCCCAGGACAATGTGGTGCCCCTTAAAAACTCCCAGTTAAAACCAACACCCAAGAGAGCACGGTGGGCAGAAATGGCACCAGGGGCAGCCACACGTCCTGGCTGCGGCCTCGCTGCAGCTGGCAGATATGCCCCACAGCCTTGGTGCTGGTTTCTTGGCCAGGCTTCTCTTGAGCCAGGAGTGTCTGAAGTGGGATTCCTTGCTGTGCTATTGTCCCTTGAAAACCTCCATCCAACCTTAGTCTGGTGATAGTTCCTTGCCCCCAGCAGGCAGGGAGCTCCAAGGCTGTGTACAGGCTCCCCGCTTGCCGCTCGGGGATGAGTGAGGGGAGAGGGATGTCTTCGGGAGCAGCAAACTGAAATGTATCTGATGTTCAAAACAAGGTCTGGAGTTGATTAGAGCAGCAACCCGGAGATTGGGAACCAGGCACTTCTGAGGGATCACACAAAGGCACTTCACGGGGGTGTTAGCTCGCGTATGCATGTTTTCTTCAACGGCCCAAGTTATGACAGGATCCAGATGTGCTCAAAGGCGCATCTGCAGTGCGCGTAAGCCTGAAGGCAGGCTGGGTGTTTGCAGAGTCTCTCTATCCCTTTTGGAGCACCACTGATCCACTTTAGGCCTGCTGTGCATCCCAGTGCCCGAGCCCAGGAAAAGCAAGAGGACCTGAGGATGCATCACATCAGGAGCAAACACTTTCTTGCACAGAGATAGACTTCAGTCCTTGCTTAATGTTAAGCCCAGGTTTGAATGTGCTGTGGCCACGTGCTGGCTCTTGGCTGATGGTGGATGGGCTGATTCACTGCCTGGCTGCACCCCGCTGCAGGGCTTAATTGAATTATGTTAATTAAGGGACATTAGTGCTGCTGCTCCAGACAGTCCCAAGCTCTGTCCTTCAGCTGGGAAATAGGAATGCCAGTTCCTCCCCAGCAAAACCACATTTTATGGGCAAGACGGTGTGGTTTGCAGAAGCACAGGTTTATGCAAAATCACAACAAGCTGCTGAGCAGCCCTGGAGTCCCCT